ATTCACGGACAATCCGGCTTTCATCCCATTTGTCGCGAGCTTCACCATCCAAATTCGCGTGGCTTCTACAACCTCTCAACTGTAATTGTAACACCATTCACCGGGCAACTTTACATACGTGTAACATCACCTGGTTATGAAACAGTTTTAAAAAGAGTTCCCATATCACTGTCATCGCAAAGAAAACGAAAAACTATTTTTCTTCAATTGAAACTAGCAATGGTGCGCAGTGAAGCACAAATGGAACAACAACAAGATCAGCAAACACAACGAATGAATTCAATTGTTGATACTCTCATGTCGCAAATGACCATCGAAGAAAAGATTGGACAACTAAATCTGGTTACGGTTGGTTTTGATGTTACTGGCCCAATTGTGAGTGAGAATGTCGATGAAAACATTCGTCAAGGTCGTATTGGTGGCGTGTTCAATACATTTACGCCAAAAGGCGTGCGTCCATTACAGGAACTAGCTATGAATCATACACGCTTGAAAATTCCTCTTATTTTCGGTTATGATGTTATTCATGGCCACCGAACTATCTTTCCTATTTCGCTGGGTATGAGCACCACATGGGATATGGCAGTCATCGAAACAAGTGCTCGTATTGCCGCTCAAGAAGCGACAGCAGATGGATTAAATTGGGTGTTTTCACCGATGGTGGATATAGCACGTGATGCACGCTGGGGCCGAATCTCCGAAGGTGCTGGCGAAGATCCTTGGCTAGGTAGCCAAATAGCTGCAGCTATGGTACGTGGCTATCAAGGATCAGATCTGTCTAGCTCAAATACAGTAATCGCATGTCTGAAACATTTTGCTTTATACGGCGGAGCAGAGGCAGGACGCGATTATAATACCGTTGATATGAGTCGTATTACTATGTATAATTATTTTCTACCGCCCTATCATGCAGCCGTCGAAGCAGGTGCCGGTAGTGTTATGACATCGTTTAATGAAATTGACAGTATTCCAGCATCAGGAAATCGATGGCTATTACAAGATTTGTTACGTGACCAATGGAAGTTCAATGGATTTGTTGTTACAGATTATACAGCTATCAATGAAATGATCGAACATGGTGTAGGTAATTTACAAGAAGTTAGTGCACGTGCATTGAACGCAGGCGTCGACATGGACATGGTGGGTGAAGGCTTTCTGACTACATTACTAAAATCTGTACAGGAGGGAAAAGTAACTGAACAAACGATCAATCAAGCATGCCGTCGAATCCTCGAAGCAAAATATAAACTAGGCTTATTCGATGATCCATATCGTTATTGTGATGACTCACGTCCTGGAACGGATATATTTACTAATGAAAATCGTTTGGCAGCAAGAGATTTTGCTCGACGGTCATTTGTTCTGCTCAAAACTGACCGAAAAACCTTGCCATTAGCAAGATCGAATTCAACCATCGCTCTCATAGGTCCATTAGCGGATGATCGTCGAAATTTACTCGGTAGTTGGAGTGCAGCCGGTAACTGGAATCAAAGTGTTAGTGTACGTGAAGGAATAATTAATCTTGTCGGAAATAAAAATCAAGTTTTATTTGCCAAAGGTTCAAACCTTATTGAAGATACATATATGCTTCAGCAACTGAATGCACACGGTGGTGAAATCGTTATAGATACACAATCGGCTCAACAAATGATAGATGAAGCAGTAGGAATAGCGAGCAAATCAGATGTTGTTGTTGCTGTTGTCGGTGAATCGCAAGGAATGACAGGTGAAGCAGCTAGTCGGGTCGATATTGGACTGCCAGAATGTCAGAAACGTTTACTTCAAGCATTATTCAATACTGGTAAACCAGTTGTCATCGTGTTAATGAACGGTCGACCAATGACATTAACATGGGAACATGAACATGCAGCAGCTATTTTGGAAACATGGTTTGCTGGTACTGAAGCTGGTAATGCTATTGCTGAGGTACTGTTCGGCCTTTACAATCCAGCTGGTAAACTAACTACAACATTTCCACGTCATGTGGGACAAATTCCTTTATACTACAACCACAAGCAGACCGGCCGTCCGTTCAATGCTACTCAATTTACTGATAAATACAAAGTAAAATGAAATTTTATAAGCTGACTGATTACTCAATTTGATTTCGTTCAGAGTCGTTATTTAGATATTCCTAATGATCCCCTGTATCCATTTGGTCATGGTTTTAGCTATACCACATTTGAGTTCGGTACAATATCCGGTGATAAATCTGAACTTCGAGGTGATTCAGATCGTTTAACTGTTCGTGTACCAATTAGTAATCGAGGTGCTTATGGTGGCGAAGAAGTTGTTCAATTATATATCAGTGATCCAGCAGCCAGCGTCACCCGAGCTGTGCGCGAATTGAAAAATTTCAAGAAGATTTATCTTCGTGCCCAACAAACTGACGAAGTAACATTTGTGGTAACAACAAACGATTTGAAATTCTACAATACCAATCTTGACTATGTATGGGAAGAAGGAGATTTCATCATTCATATTGGCCCTGATTCCGTCAATACCCAATCCATACGAGTGAAGTGGCTCAAATAGAATTCTTGAACTATAATGAACATTTGTTCGTTTTTTTTTCGAAATCTATTTATTAAAAAGAAAAATAAACATTAGTCGAGTATAGAAATCAAGGTCAACAATCCAATTCTTTTCGTTAGAAGGTTTCATTAATTTGTTGCACCTTTTCTCATAAAACGTTCATCAGCGTACAAATGAATCTGACGTATATTCATATTACTCATCCACACTATAACTTGTTTTATTCTTCAAATGAATAATTCAAAAGTATACCATCCTACGTACTTACTACAAGATCAAAACAAGCTGAAAGATACGCAGAACTGTGTATCCAGCATTTTGTGTCATCATCAATTAGATTTCTGATTCTGTTAGACGTCAGTTTACCGATGTACCACAAGTACCATAGCCGGAACGGAATGAATGGCATTGATTGTTCTACATACGTACATACACTAGAAATATCCAAATGGATGCTTTCATAGTTATTCTAATCAATCTCTCATGCCGTGCGTTTGTGTCTCACATTTGTTATTATTTCAAACAGCTTTTCTCTTCTTTTAACATAGTGAAGTGCTTGTGTATAATATTGTATATTTTTAAACGTGATGAGTACAGTAAAAATCAACATTTTTTTTTTCATAAGTTCATTTATTCATTCTATTTTCAATCACCTAGTCTGATTGCTTCATTGTTCACTGTTTAGCCTTGAAAATCTCTCAAATTCTTTCTCTTCTCTTGATGCTTTACTTCAATTACGTATTCATTCGATTTATCTGTTTTCATCAGCGTTTTACATGTTCTTCTAAGTAAATTGAATGCAAACGACTGTCCCGCCTTTTTCTGCTTGACATGCATGTATATGTATATGAAAGGGTCACTTGACAAGCTTCTCTAATCGGATATTATTCCATTTGTGTATTCGTTGAATGTCGTTATTCAATAGATTTGCCAACACGCATTGTTGAAATCAATCGAATAAATCATCGTATACAAATTGACATTGAACGTTTTCGTTTCTCTATATAGGCATACGATATTCGGGTGTACTTGTGTCATACACGGTTGATTTTTCTTCTTTTTTTACACTATCTCGATTGATTGACGAAAGAAATAGGGAGAAGTATAGGTAATTTGCTACACGAATCAAACTTCAATTGTTCGGCTGTACAACGTGGCCAATCGACGTATATAAACGTCGTAAATTATAGCCTATGAGACGAAAGAAGAGAAAGGTGATTGTCGACAGATAACATACACGCACTTCTAGTGTAAACGTCAGTAGATGTGTGTATGTAATTAGTGCATAGATGAATATAGACATACACTAATAATTTGCATCAATATATTTAAGTATGAGACACACTTGACTTGAAAAATAAAAGAGAAATAAAGGTTTTTTGTTAATGTCATGTACATATGACAGATTTCTTCCTAAGAAGTAGATAGTATCTTGTGTATGAGAAAGAAACGCGTTTGTTTGACTATACTTTGACGAATTACTACCAGTGAGGTGAATTCTTTAAACTGCAGACAAGAAAAATCAAAAGGCTATTCGATACTTCTGTCTTTCTTTTTTTTTCATATTTTATTCTTTTTGCCTACTTCTTTTATTGTTTGGACGAAAGAAACCTTTCCTATACTCACTTATTCTGCTATTCAAATCTGGAATGTCACTTTTACCTGTTGAGAATATTCAAAACTAAAAGAGCAAAGCTTGAATGTTTACTTGACAGATGACATTGTCCGTTGTTCTCCTTCTCCGTCTTTTTCTTCTCTCCTTCTTGATGTCTGCTACAACTAATTGTCTTAATTCATAATTTACTCGCATAATGTAGATTTGATGACGGTTCAATATGTATATTGACGAAACAAACACACGACTCGATTTGTTTGCTAGACGAGATTTTTTGTTCGCTAACAAGACAACAGAGGTGCCGCTTGATAGTTTTATGAAATATTTAACGAGTAAGTTGTCATTTAGTCGACTAAAATAGTATTGATTCAATCAAATAGAGAGTAGGGAATTTATCTAATGAATAACATGATTATCAAAACGGAGAAGATGATGTACACTGGCAAGTGTCAAAGTTAAACTCGGCAAAAGATGTGAATATCTAGCGAGGTGCGAAGGCAACTTGCTGTGATGCCTGGTTAATGGGACTAATTTGGAAGAGAGCTCTTCTTAGTCAGCTTGATCCGTTCATTCAGCCTTCACGCACGATTCTGTATATTATTATTATTATTATTATATAGAAATTTTGTTAGTAGAAGTTGTGATACTTTGCTTATGTTTCTTTGTCATCATCTCTCCAATATAATCTGTTGCTTTTCATTCACATGTCGATTATCATATAGAAGGAAGAAGAGATCTGTTGCTTCTCATATTCCATCTTTTTTTCCATCGTATGCATTTCTTTCTTTTCTTTACCCTCCTCAATTTATTTCTGATTGGTTGAGTCGTTCGTCTTATCGTGCCACCAATCATGACCATTCTAATTATCCATTCCGTTCGACGACAAGAATGATGACGTTGAGTGGAAGAGAAATAGAGAGAGGCTGAGAGAAAAGAAAAGAAAAGAGAAGAGAAAAGTATTGATTCGTACCTTAATTAATCTTTTCTGTTCTGATCCAGACTGTTAGTAATAGTAGTAAGGTTTGAGTGTAAAGAAAAAGAGAGAAATTGGTAATCGAGCACCAATAGCAACCGAGAGACGGAACGAACGAAAGAATCGTTGGCGTCTCGTGTACGCGTTTATTAGGCGATGGCTGTCTTACAGCTATTATAAAGCAAACGCAAATGTGGAGAAGAGAAAAGAAAACAGTATGATAAAAAGAAAATGATACTGAAACTCAATTCGACGACGAACGAGAATGAGAAAGAGGAGAAAAAAAATGAGAGAAAGAGAGAAGCGAGAAAGAACAACATCAAGACATAGAGACACTCTACCCACCACCGAGAAAATGATATACATCCAACCTGCGCGCGCGCGAGCCCGAAAAAAAGAGAAGAAATGAGTGAGAGAGAGAGAGAAAAATATATATATATTCACTACCTCTCTCAACACTTAACGGTACATTGCGTTAAAAAGCAGCGAAGAGAAATAGAGAGAGAGAAAGAAATAACACAAAGAAATATCGAAACACATACGACAAGTGATACCGACAGTCGATAATCCATTCTTTTCTCTATCTCGTCCTAATGCTCGATTGACTTTGGACAAAACAAGACAATTAATAAAAACACATTTGACAGGTTTGTCTCTATTACTTCTAATTGATCAATGGAAATCAATAAGACTTACAGTGTACTTTTGAAATACAGATGAATGCTATCGATTTATTAGTTTTCATTCATGTTTATTTATTTGTAGAAAAGCTTGATACTTTCATTTCGTTTAACCACATATAAATCGTCAAAACGTTATCACTCAAGACTCTCCTTCCAGCACCACGTCCGCTATTAGCGAACGGTGGTCTGGTTTCAACGACGTCGCCGTCCGCACCTGCGCACAAAACTAAAACATCTACCAGTCGATCGCCTTCCTCGTCGTCAGCATCCTCCAAGTCCTCCGCATCCGGTTCATCAAGATCTCGATCTCGATCGCCAATTTCTCGTCGTTCACGATCGTCAACGCCTGATAAACCGCCAACACCATCATCGTCGACACCTCCTGTCTCGATCAATAATTCCAATGTATCATCATCATCATTGCTACAACAACAAGCAGCTGCAGCAGCTGCATTGTTCTCTAGCGGTTCACTCAGTTCCCTGTTACCAATGTATAGTATGGGTCTTTTCCCAATTCCTCCTCCGCCTCTACCGCCACCGATATTGCCAGCAGTGAATTTCTCATCTGAACAAATTGCTCGTGTTTGTGAAACATTAGAAGAAAATGGTGATATTGATCGTTTAGGAAGATTCCTTTGGTCGTTACAAGTTGCACCAGGTTCAGCGAATCTTTTAGTACAACACGAAAGCATTTTACGCGCCCGTGCACTCGTCGCATTTCATTTGGGCAATTATCGCGAACTGTATCATTTATTAGAAAATCATAAATATACGCGTGATTCACATGCGAAATTGCAAGCCATGTGGATGGAAGCACACTATCAAGAAGCAGAAAAACTACGTGGAAGACCACTAGGACCAGTAAGAGTGTTGAGAGTGTGATTTTCATTTCAATCTTGTTTCTCATGATTTAGGTCGATAAATATCGTGTTCGCAAGAAGTATCCTCTACCACGTACGATATGGGATGGCGAACAAAAGACTCATTGCTTTAAAGAACGAACACGTTCATTACTAAGAGAATGGTATTTGCAAGATCCATATCCAAATCCAGCCAAAAAACGTGAACTTGCACAAGCTACAGGATTAACGCCAACACAAGTAGGCAATTGGTTCAAAAATCGACGTCAGCGTGATCGTGCAGCTCAAGCAAAGAATCGGTATGTTGATACATATATATTTACTAGAAGATTTGCATT